GTTTTGGCTTTTCCAAACCTCCATCTTGCATGAGCTCAAAGGCAAAGGAGACGTTTAAGACCTGGAAAGAGAAATGCAGGGCCTATGTTATTGCACACTCATTCCTGGGCCCCTGTGGATCCTGGGATCTGCCCCTGGGAAGTGATGGAGCTAGAGGGACAAAGGGCTGAGCTAAAATGTCCTAATTTGAAGGAGAAGTGAGGTTACCAAAATGGGCAGGCCATGTGGAGTGTGGGCTGGCCTATCCCAGCCTACTCTTGGTGAGTATTGCTAGAGACGTTCAAAATCCTCTTTCTGTTCTACTGTGTTCCTGTGTTAACTACCAGGGTTTTCAACTCAGACACATTAGTGCTCTCAGTTGAAAGAACTGGAGAGCAAGACATATGCACAAGAAGCAGAGAAGGGTTTCTTCCTTGGATCAAATGCCCCTTGTCTAGCACACAGGCTGTGGCAGCTTGTGAGTCATCGGAATGAGGCTGAGTGTAGGTGGTCAGGTATGACCAGCCTTGTCACTTCTGGGAGAGATGAGACTGGCCAGTGATACCTGGATGGAGCATATGACTAGGGGACCAAGGCCAGGCTATGGTGGGGGTCGTTGGAGAGAAAGTGGTCAGATGCTCTGTGGCCTTCAGGTAGCTCCTTTCCAGCTCAGTGCTCATCAGAATGGGCCTCCCATCCAACCACTGAAGACCATGGGTAGACAGGAATCTACTGCCTTTTCCCCAGATGGCCCCAGCATAGCTGTTGGTGGATGAGTCAGAGCATCTGGGTTAGGGCCTCCCTCCACATCGCCTCTCCTTACCTTCTGTTCAAAGCTGTCCGGGGTCAGGAAGAAGCTGTGCAGGGGCACAAAGTAGCCCTCCAGGAGCCCCATGAGTAGCACCAGGTACACCCCATCTGCAAACTGGAGAAAGAGAGTCAGGTGAAGGCACTGGGCCCTTGAGTCCCAAGGCAAGCCCCATCCAGAGGGTTTGTCAGCTTCTATGTCAACATGTCTGGCCTGTCCCATATCTGGCTGGTCCAACACTGGAGACGGCGCCCACGGTCCTGATCTCAGTTGATCCAGCATTTATTTATTTATTTATTTTTAAATATTTTTATAATAAGGATTTCTTTTTCTAAATATATATTTTTAAATCTTTAAATCTTTAAAAAAAATGTATTTATTGACTTCAGAGAGGAAGGGAGAGATAGAAACATCAATGATGAGAGAGAATCATTGATTGGCTGCCTCCTGTATGCCCCACATTGGGATCAAGCCTGCAACCCAGGCATATGCCCTTACCAGGAATTGAACTGTGACCTCCTGGTTCATAGGTTGATGTACAACCACTGAGCCACACCAGCCAGGCATGATCCAGCATTTACTGAGCACTGGTCATGTTCTAAGCCCTGATCCAGCACATGGACCACAGTTAAGGGCCAGGTGTGGCCCCTTCCCTAGGGAAGCTCACAGCCCAATAGGGAGACTGATGTGGAGAAAATGCAGCAGCTGCTCTGATGGAGGGAAGCAGGTTGGCTTGTGTGACAGGGTCACTCTCTCCCACGGAAGGCAACAGGGAAGGCTTCTAGAGCAGGCGCTGCCTGAATGGAGACTGGAGGGATGAGCAGGAATTAGCTAGGGTGGGGCAGAAGGAGGAGGGCAAGGGGATGTCCAAGGCCAATGGCATGAGGCTACTAGGGTGAAGTACTTTGTGAACAAAGAACTCTAGTGTCATACAGGCCTCGTCATTCTCCTTTCTCATATCTCATTGTATCATCGCTTAAGAGGCAGCACAGTGTAGCTATTATGAAGTTGGGCTCTGAAGCTAGGCCTCCAGCTCTACCACTTACTGGCTGTGTGATTTAAGCAAGTTACATAACTTCTCTGTACCTCATTTTTCTCATTGGTAAAATGGGGATGATCGAAGTATAGTTTCTACTTAATAGGGTTATCATGAGGACTAAACCAGTTAATAGGTATAAAGTGCCTAGAGTACTGCTTGATGTGTAGGCAAAACTTAATAAATATTTAACTATAGCAGGTCCTTGAATAACATCATTACATTATAAGGTTGATGAGAAAAAAATTGACTTTCAGCTGTGGCCACTGTCTGTGTGAAGTTGGCATGCTCTCCCCATGTCTCGTGGTTTCTTCCAGGTACTCGGGTTTCCTCCCACATCCCAGAGATGTGCACGTCACTTGAATTGGCGTGTCTACAGTGTCCCAGTCTGCGTGAGTGTGGATGGAAGGGCGTCTTGTCCAGGGCTGGGTCCTGCTTTGTGCCCTGAGCTGCAGGGATAGGCTCTAGCCACCTGTGACCCTGAACTGGAGCAAGCAGATTGGAAAAGAATTCTTACTTATTTTTATTAATATTTCTTAAATGTATGCAGAACTCACATTTATTTCAATGTTTAATATTAGACAAGTTGGGGAGGGGGTCTTTATTTAGAACTTTGGTGACATTTTTGTGACCAAAAATACGCTGTAGGAACTTGGTTATACCAACTAGCCTATGGAAAAATTGGTTTAGTTATATGTCATTTTGCTTTGAGTCATGGTTTCTAAGACCCTGTTGATGGTGTTAAGTGAAGATGTACTGTATTGCTTACTATCTGGGAAAACAACAAAGCAATCAGGACACAACTTACTGGCAAAGTACAACTGTGTGCTGAGGGCCAGGACAAGAGGCTTAGAGCCCTACCTTCCCATCTAGGACAGTAGAGTCTGGACGGGCTGGGAACCTGGTCTCAGGGACCATCGATTCCTAGGCTAAGCAGAGGGATTTAGGTATTCTGCTCAAGGAAGGGCAAGGTGAGTGTGTGCTGGGCACTGGGGCAGGCTTGTGGAGGAGTGGAGGCCTGTGGGATGAGGAAAATGCGGAAGGAGGAGGTGTTCTAGGGATGGAGTGGGGCCTGAGCAAAGGTAGAGAGGTCGGGTGAGTATCTGGTATCCTAGAACCTTTCAAAGGAAGTGGGGCCACCAAAGGTTTGTGGGCATAAACAACAGTTGCTAGAGTTCACAAGAGGCCAAAGTTCTTGGAATCATCTTAGGAAACTTAAAAAAAAAGTAGACTGAATTGCCTGGAATGTGAGCTGGGCCCAGAGTCAGAGATCTGCCAGGTGGCTGGCTGGTGGGCCTGTGCTTCACCGTTGTTGTGGGCATACGACCCTGCATGAACTTGGCCGAGGCGCAGCTTCCTGCCTGCTTCCATCCATCAGGTGGGTAGGGCCTGAGCATGATTCATCCTAGGTCACCCCAGACGTGGACAATGCAAGAGCAGACCCAGCATCCATGTTAGAATCAAGGCCTGCCTATGGAAATAGTTAACTGGGCCTCATTGTGGCTGTGGCTCTAATGGGCTGAGAATAAAAAATTCCAATCTATCAACTCAGAGGAGGACCTTGGGTTAGGGTCGGGGTTACTCACAGCTCTGAGCGCCACTGACATAGACAGCTCCCACCCCGACTGCTCTTTCTGATGACTCGATGGTAAAACCCGCAGACAAACACCAAACACACTCACCAGAGACTCCCTTTCATAGCACAACCTGTTCATGCAAACTTAGGGAAAGTCCCAGAGCTCACTCTAGCTCATTTGAGGAAATATCACTTTTCCAGAGTGTTCCCTAACTCCCCAAAGAGCATGTAAACTCGTTCCACAGAGTCCAGACACACTCAGACAGTACTCAGGCATAGACCTGGAATTGCTTTTATTTATTATGTATTTATTTTTTAAAAAATATTTTTATTGATTTCAGAGAGGAAGGGAGGGGGGGGGGAGAGAGAAACATCAATGATGAGAGAGAATCATTGATTGGCTGTCTCCTGCATGCCTGAGCCCGCAACCCAGGCATGTGCCCTGACCCCCTGGTTCATAGGCTGATGCTCAACCACTGAACCACACTGGCTGGGCCAGGAATTGCTTTTAGAAACAACAAGAGATGTCCATGTGCTCAAAAGAAAGCCTCATTTTAGAAATTCATCACAAATGAAAGGAGGTCAGGAAACAGAATATATCACACAGCCTTAAAGTATCTCCCACTAAAGATTAGTTATTACTTATAAAGGAGGGAGAGGACCTTAGCAGTAGGGAGGTCTGGTGGACACCAACTTACCCCTGTGATCAAAGTTACTGTCACCAGTCACGGACTGCTGGACAAAAGTGTCTGAGAAGACACCATTACTCAGGTGGTATTGTTACTGAAAATGCATAACCTGAATCTAATTGTAAGGAGGGATACTTAGAGACATTCTATGAATCAAAGAGCCTGCACTCTTCAAAAATGACGTCATGTAAAGAAAGGCTGAGGATCTGTCCTATAACAAGACACTAAAGAAACATGACAACTAAATACTGCATGTGAGAATACTAGGGAGACTGGAAAAAATTGAAATATAGTGTTTCTTTGAACCATGTGACTACTCAAAAGTAGTCAAATATCAGCAATTGCATATGGTTTAACCTAAACGATGTATTCTACCAATGTTAAAATTACCAGAATTTGATCGGTGGATGTGGTTATCTAAGAGAATGTACTTGTTATTAAGAGATGTATGCTGAAGTGCTTAGGTGGAGAGAGAGAAAAAAAGAAACCCCAAATGTGGTCAAATATTAATAATTGGTGTATGTAGGTGAAGTGTTTAGATATTCATGATAATATTCTTGCAATTTTTCAAAGTAAATTCAGATAAAGTCCAAACAGGAATAGAATCCCCTCCCTCCTGGGAAAGCTTGAGGGTCAATGTGGAAAGCCCTCCTGGCCGTGCAGGGATGGGGCACTTGGAATGGTAGCTGTTGAGCAGGGCCTGGCCCCCACGCTTCCCTCGGGGCTGTCACCCACCTGGGTTTCCAGTTCTGTGACCTCCAGGTTCAGTTTATTCAGGTGCTTGTTCACAAAAGTGATGAGAGTCTAAAAAAAGAAGCACAGGCGGCTTTGAGATGGAGGCTCTCACCAGTGCCAAGCCCTCGGGGCCACCTCAGTGACTCCACCGTGAGGACAAGGACCAGGGTGACCACGTGATGAGGCCTTGCTGAGAGCACGGGGCCTGGGATCCCTGTGCCGAGCTGCCGAGCTGAGTGAGGATGAGTGAGCAGCCTGGGAGGCTTTTCTGCCAAGCCCCCGGAGTTCATAGGAAAGGAGACTCCCAAAGATTTACGGTCCTGGACACTATGTGATTCACACTGTGAGAGGAGCTAGGAGGTCTGAGAGTGAGAGGTGGAGGGTCTGACCCCAGGGTCGGGGGCCAGAGAAGAAATGACCCCACTGGGTCCCTCCTTGCAGTCCCTTTCTAGGTGCAGGTGCCTGTGCCTGTGTGGAGGCAGGGACGGCTGGAGGTGGAGTAAGGGTGGGAACAAAGGGTGCTCATAGTGGTCTCAGAACCCCCTGAGTCTCAGGACGCTATCATCCTGGTGGGAGAAGAAAGGGACTGGATGAGCTCTCCAGTGAGAATAAGACAGGAAAAATGGACAGCAAGCAGGAAAGCCCATGTTTGCAGAGATTTGGTGATAAAGCCAGTCTCAGGAAGCTTGCGAGCCATAGGGATGATGTTTCCTAAAATGCTTTGCTACCCCCCTCCCCCATCTTTCCTGCTTCCCTCCCAGGCACCTCTTCCCCACCTTTTTCACCACGTTGAGCTTATCGGGTGCATGGTCGAACAAGGTGTCGAAGGCATCACGTTCTGAAAAAGAGGGAAAGGTCGATGAAGGGCACAGCTGATTCCTGGTAGGAAGCCCACCCCAGGTCCAGGCCACATGGTCAGGTACAGATGGAAACTTTCCGGGGTCTGAGGCTGCGCGGGGAACTCTAGAAGCTGGGTTTAGGGCAGAGATTTGGGTTATGCTCACCTAGGGAGCTGTGTGTGTGCGTCCACCCTCTGTGTCAAACCTCTTTTGGGCCGGGACTGAGGGGCTCTGTTAGGCACTTTAACTGGGGACCTGCAATTTCTCTTCAGTCTTTGTGTTCATTACATTATGATTTAGTCATGGCTGCAAAGCGTTTCGGAAGCTTTTTGGAGGTAGGATGATATCCAAATATCAAATCACTTCACACCCTAGTGATCAAAACCGGGACACCCGGCCAACCATCCTGGCAGCACACGTGCATCAATACGCAGGTTGGGAACCAGAGCTCCGGACAGGATGCGAGCTCCTCCTCTTGAGTGACCTAGTCACTTCGGCGCTTTGTGCCTCAGTTTCCTCTTCTAAAATGCCATCTGAGAAATGGACCTCCCGGGTGTGTTATGAGATGAAAGATGGGAAAGTATGTGCATGTGCTCAGTAGACTGATATGTCTACTGATCTGAGTTGTTTTAGCATTACTGGAATTGTTCAAAATATGCACAGCAAATACAGGATCATAGGAAGTAGCAAAGTCACGCCCCCTGGCCCCCTGCAGGTCTCTTCTAGCTGCCCCTCCTCCCCCACATTCTCTGAACTGGGAAGTGAAATAATGGAGGGAAACCTGGGGCAGGGAAGGTTGGTGATCCCGGGTCTGTATCTCCCTACTCTTCCACCGATGGGCAAATCCGAGACTTCCAGGAAGGTGATTGTGACCTCTGACATTCACAGATTTTGTGAACAAGCCCAAAGTTGTGGGAGATGGGAGAGACAGGAGCTATGAAAAGGAAAGAGAAAGAAGCAGCTTCCAGAAGGGCTGGGCAGAGAGGAGACAGTCCGAGCATGTAGATACACCTCCTTTCTTTACTCTCACCATACGCTTCGAGCAAGACTGCCCAGGACCCATCCAGGGCCCAGCAATGTCAGTGGTCTGGTTACTTGCGAAAGGACTATGCAGCTGTGGTTAGTTTTCCTCTTCCCACCAGTAAGCAGACCCTCCCTACCACGTAGCTCTGTCACCAGGCTGGTGCAGACACATGCAGGAAGCAAGCTGAGTGCCTATGGTTCCCAGCTGCTGCAGAATTAACTAGACCCCCGTGGAAGCCACCAGCACCAATGGACAATCTTACGCAACTCACCATGCCTTCCGGAGAGAGCCCTGTAGGAAAAGGAGAAAGAAAACAGTGTGAATCTTCTCTCTTTGCCCTTGATTGAAAAGCCCCAAAGCTCTCTTGGCATTCTACACTTAGTAAGTTCACTGCCCAGGGTGCTGTGGGCATTAGCCTGGGGAGGTCAAGTTCTTCTCTCCCCTATACATCCTGTGATACCCATTAAGCTGCACCTCGCCTTGCTCCAGGATAGGTTTTTCTCAAAGAGGGCAGGAACTGGAACTGGACTTTTAGCAGTGAAGCAGCAGAGAACTAAGAACACAAGCATTAAAGACTGACTACTTGGGTTTAAATCCAACAGAGCCATCTGTGTGCTATGTGACCTTGAGCAAGCTAACGAACCTCTCTGGGCACCAGGTCTCTTATCTCTAAAATGAGGTTAGCATGTTGTGAGCATTACATAATTTAGTAAGTGGAAAGATTTTAGCACAATTCCTGGTATATAGGTAAGTGCTCAATATATTTTTTTCTTAATACATTAGTGGGTCTCTTTAGTTTATTCCAACTGCGCTTCTATCACCCATTACATGATGACTTTCGGGCAATGCACTGGAAAGAACAGTGAACTTGGAGTTAACTGCTGGACGGACCAGTGATAATTTCCTTCCCCACCTTTGGGCTGTGGGGTTTTAGGAGGTGTAATCATTGCTTCACGTGTGAATTATGAACATCGACAGATACAAACATGCTTCAGAGACTGGAGTGTATTGTCAAATGATTAGGAGTTTGCATCCTTGTTTGTCTATGTGGCAAGATGGCAGAAAGGAGCCACAGAAAGCACAGGGCCAGCTGAGAGATCGCTCTGAAAACTGAAGCTTCATGATCCCTGGTTTGGGAGCTTCTCACAGGATCTTCTCAGACATATTTTCCTCTTTTCCACGGACAAGCAGAGGTGAGGGGAGGTGGGGGCGGGACGGTGAGGAATTCTCCTCCCGGCAGGCCTGTCAGGGCAGCTTTCAGCCCGCCCCTCACAGAATCAACGCCAAGCATCAGTGTGCCTTGTACATCAGCTGCCCCCTCGGCTGTCAGGACTGGACCCTGGAGTGGTGCGGAGGCAGGCCATCAACTGGGCATCTGGGGAAGGGCCTCCCCACATCTCTGGCCTATCCTGGGCCCTTTTAAGGCACATGCATGGTGTGGTCCACAGCATTCTGGACCTCCGTCAGCCACAATGGGGGAGGGGAAGTGAGTTTCCTATAGATTGGGCAAGGCTTGGCTGGTGTGGGTCAGCTGTGATGGGGAAAAGCCAGAAAAGTCAGCAATGAAGGACATGGGAAAGGGAAGGCCGAGCTCTTCCCACGTTACATCCTCACACTCTGTGGTTAGCAAAATGCTCCCCACTTCAGAGATGAAGACACTGAGGTCGGAGAGGTTAAGAGACTAGCAGGTGAGTAAAGTGGCAGGGTCTGGATTTGAACTCAAGTGAGGCTGGATTAGAGGTCTCGGCTCTTTTCACTTCATTCTTCTTGTTCAAGGGAGGATAGAGGAGAGATGGAGCCAGGGGATGCATAAAACGAACTTTGCCCGGCCTCGCATGTGGCCAGGGCCAGTCCTGCCAGGGATCTCAAACCCACACACGGTCCTGCTCTTTCTGCTTAAGACCAAACTTGTCTTCCCCACAGCAAACCTCTTAGATGTTTTGATATTCCAATTTCTTAAAGTAAGTGAAAAGAACAAAAACATCCCTGTAAGGTAGAGAGGGGCTTTCTGGGTCATGGCATGCGACCAAATCAATCAGATTCAGAAAAGGAAGAAAAACGTCCTTTTGAAGGCTAGCAATTTAAATTCAAGTCCATGTTTATGGCATGACGATTTCATGCTGGTTGGCTTTTGGGGGCACACTTTTTTCCCGGAGTGCCACAAAATTAGAATTTTTCAATCACTGCTAATTCTCTTTCCCCACTTCCCCACCCAAGTTTGTACCTTAAGCATTGAGAGGCATGTTTTGAATGCATGGAAAAGGCTAAGCTATAATCATTGGCTGAAGTATAATCCCTCTTGCAATCCCAATAAATGAAAACTAAATATCAGCAAATGGACGAATTTCGGAGAAACATCTGTGTTCCATTACAGAATCGCTGGCAACAATGGTGTTGACATACTCTGTGTTACCAGTTATTTCCTCTTGGATTTGCCGAGACTGGAGGATTCCTTCTCGTTTCTGAAACGGGGGTGGGGAGAAGGGTTGGGAGGAGGAGAGAAAAATATGCTTTAGAAAAATACAAAATACTGATTAGCATTCCTGATACTGAGAACGTTACTGGTGTTTAAGAAAGTGAGTCTGGAGTTGAGAGGCTTCCAGAAGTGAAACAAGGCCCCTGGCTTCCCGGGCCTGGACCGTACCATTCGTACTTCAGTGCAGCTCGTGTTTAGTCCAAACAAGTAGGCTGTTTCTTGGATGGTGAATCTTTTCTTTCTTTATTGGAAGACATTCTGTTGGAAGCAAACTGTTTGCCTCCTGGAGTAATCCACAGTCAACCAAATGGAAATGAAGGCCAGGGTGTGTCTGTCCTCCAGCTGGGGCCACAGAGGAAAGCTGAGAAACACACTCAGCTGGGGGGCTGGGGTGGAGGAACCCAGGCCAGCTTGGAGAATTCAAATAGAGGGAGAGTTTGTTTGTTTTTCCTTCTTTTTAATGGATAAATACAGGAGCTTTCAAATAACTAGTACAGTCCTCAGGTAATTAGCTTACTCTCTGAGCAAAGGTTAAGTAATTTGGAGGCCCACCCAGCCCATCCATCCATCCATCCATCCACTTATCCACCCACTCACCCACCCACCTACCTACCTATCCATTTATCTGACATCTATTCCACCCACTCCCATCACTTCATCCTCTCTTCTTTGTTTCATTGATCAGAGCCTTCTAAATACAATTCCCTAATTAGTACCTTCTATGGACAAGTCCTTGAGTTGGACTTGGAGCAAATACTTGAGGAACTTAGAGAGTGAAATGTCATAGATGAAGCAGGTATGTGAGAATGGTTTTCCCCAAACAGGGTTTTTGCCTGATGACCCAGGTCAGTTATTAGTAGGATCCCTTTTGCTCTCAAAAGTGTCTTGGGTAATAAATCACATGGTCACCCTATGCAGAGAGAAAGTGCTGAATGCAGGACAAAGGCAGGCACGTTCAGCA